TGCTCTATCCACTGAGCCAAACCAGCTAAGGCTCTTTCATAATATATATTGATCTCTCACATCTGCTTTGGTCTCCTAGTTTTTTGTTTTGTCTATTTTTTGTCATTCTAGGTTTATGCCTCCTTTTATTCCTTTACTATTATTTGCATGTTATTTTGTGAAGGAATGGAGATAGACACATGAAGGTAATATGTATTTAACTAGATGCTACCAATTCTGCTGGAAAGACAAAACTAATATTTATTGTTTGTCTAGCACAGCCGTGGGCAAACTACGGCCCGCGGGCCGGATCCAGCCGGTTTGAAATGAATAAAACTAAAAAAAAAAAAAAGACCATACCCTTTTATGTAATGATGTTTACTTTGAATTTATATTAGTTCACACAAACACTCCATCCATGCTTTTGTTCCGGCCCTCCGGTCCAGTTTAAGAACCCATTATGGCCCTCGAGTCAAAAAGTTTGCCCACCCCTAACATATACCAGATATTTTGTTCATAAAAACCATAATGGGCCCTAACCGGTTTGGCTCAGTGGACAGAGCATCAGCCTGTGGACTCAAGGGTCCCAGGTTCGATTCTGGTCAAGGGCATGTACCTTGGTTGCGGGCACATCCCCAGTAGGGAGTGTGCAGGAGGCAGCTGATCGATGTTCCTCTCTCATTGATGTTTCTAACTCTCTATCCCTCTCCCTTCCTCTCTATAAAAAATCAATAAAATATATTTTAAAAAAACAAAAAACAAACAAACAAACAAAAAAACCCGCAAGTGGTAAAAACCATAAAAACCATAGGTATCATCTCCATTTTTCAGATAAGGATTCACAAACTCAGAAAAATTAAGTAACATGTTAACAGTTACATACCCAGTAAGTAAAGAAGCAGTCTTGTATTGAAACCTGGGTCTTTCTAGGCTCTAAATATGTCACAAGAATCATTCAGGTGATCATTTTTCATCCAACTGTAGATGAAGTACAGAGTCAAAGGACAATTCTCCCCTCCATCATGCCCAGAACAACGCTGGTGAAACAAGCACATACCTCTTTCAATCCACTGCTCAAAACTGTCTGGCTCCTTAGATGTGCTCTTTTCAATTTGCAAGGTCCGTACTAACATTGTAAATAAACAAAACATATAAAGGATTAATTATCGAACTGATTCTTTGTTGTTGTTCCTATATTCCTTTTATCCTCTGAGACTGTCAGGCTTTGGTGGGAATGCACAAAGAACTGGGATTAGGAAGACCATCTTCTGAAAATCATTTACTCTTTTTCTATATGTCCCTATGGGGAAATGAATCTTGTGTCACTATAATCTTACAAATATTTGCAAACATATAACACAGCTTTGGAGCCTTTTTGAATTTGGTATCATCCAGATTTTTTTGTATATTGGTAGTAATAGTAGTAATAGCATTAGTAGTCTTGGGCATAAGTCTTTACCTTTAAGGAGAACCTACTACGAGTCAGGTATATTTACCTCATTTACTCTTTACTATAATCTTATGAAAAAAGTAATATTAACCTACTTTACTGATAAGGAAACAAGCTTAGAGAAATTGGGCAACTTAGAGAAGTCAGGCAAAGTGTTCAATGATAAAGAATTAGTAAGTGCCAGAACTAAAATTCAAATGTTTGGTCTGTCTGACTCCAGAGCCTCTACAATTAATGACAGGAGAAAGACTTAACAGGAATGCAGTCATCTTCCTTCTGCACTGTTTTTTCTCCATCACCCCTAACCCAGTTCCAGCTACCCCAGATCCATTCTTCCCGTTCTGTGTTCTGTGCCCTGGGGGGATAATCCCCATGGACTGCATCTCGGGGACTCACTTGCTCACTGGTTACGGGTCATCTGTGGCCAATGGGTGGCACTGAGAGGAAATTGGAGGGCAGTGGGGAAGTGAGATCAGGCTGTTTCTTTCTCCACTCCCTTCCTGCTTCAGTGCCATGTCTTGACAGTGGTTGTGTTCCTTCATGATTACAACTCCTGCCAGGCAGGTCCTTATTTACAAGCTCCAACCTTTACTGGGCTCCAAAACCAAAACACTATTTCCTTCCCTGAGCTCAGGGGTGGCAATGGCATCCTGCTGTAGCCAGTTTCTGGGTGTCTCACATCCCTGGTTTAGTCTCTGGAGCCAGAACATAATTTTGTAAGTAGACCCATCAATAAAGTCTCTTCATTTGAACCATCTGGAGTGTATTCTGTTTCCTGCCATGATTCTGTCTGATATACTTTATCCTTACATAAACATAAAGACAGGATTAGGATGATATTCTAATGGGAGATTCTCCTTCTAAATCCATCAGAAAATGTCATTTTTAATGTAAGAATCAAAATTATCCAATGCAAATAATCAAGGTTATCAGATTTCCAGAAAGAATTTAACAGAGAACCCCAAGCCAAACAATCTGTAATAAATATGTCAAGAAATCTAGCATTCTGGCAAGCTGGCTTCTTACGTTCATAATAGGCTCTTTTGCCAAAGACTTTCACATAGTAAATTGCATGGAAATTATTATTTGCTTTGGAAGGGTTTCAAATTTGCAGTTTCATAGAGTCTAACTGTAATCAAGGCAGTTAACCCATACACCCAACTCTCCTACCCAGCAATAAAGCTGGATTCCATACTGCATAGAAAAATTTTGCCAAAAATTTATATGTGTCCTCTGCCTATGGAAAAATTAAAAGATGATGAAAATTAATGTATGAATTGCTTACCAAAGCAACTTTGGATTACAAGCCTTTCAATTCTTACACGTTTGTGAAAACAAATAATGAACTCTTGGGGAAACATTCCTGTGGTGGTCCAAAATGTTTCTGGGTTCCTATTGTTAATTAAAAAAAGAGAGAGGGAGAAAAATAGCCAAATAAAAATTAAACATTCACAACATTCTAGTGAATAAGTATTCAAAAAAAAAAGACCTATGGATTCTTGCAATCCCTTTCTAACTACTCATTCTGCCTCTAATTTCTCCCTACTTTTAATAATTCTTTACTACTACCAGATATATTATTTAAAAACATAGAATTTATGTCACTCTTGTCTAAAGCCTCCAGTGGCCTCTTGTTGCCTATAAATCTAAATGCCTAACTATGTTATCTTATGACTCTAAATAATAATCTGGTCTTCCATCATTAAAGTATCATATCCTCGTCCTTCATGCTATCATCTCCCATTACTATAGTCACACTGGGCCAGTTAAAATCCAGCAAACACATCATGCAGGCTCATGATCCTGTACCTTACTACATATGTAATAAATTCCACAGTACAGTGTTTTGTTTTTCCCCATTAAGTGGTCAGTTGTCTTTCAAAAAACTTAAAATAAAAAGGTTGCTTTTTCATATTATCCAAATATTTACCATTTCCAAAGAACTTAATTTCTTCCGTTGGTATGAATTTCTTTTTTTGAAATTTTATTTGATTGGGGGGCGGGGGGAGAGAAGAGAGACAGAGAGAGAGAGAAAGATTTATTTTTCCACTTATTTATGCATTCATTGGTTCCTTCTTGTATGTGCCCTGAGGAGAGATCGAAACTGCAACCTTGGCACTCTAACCATCTGAGCTACTTGGCCAGGGCTGGTTTGAATTTCCATCTAGTATTATATCACTTCAACCTATAGAACTTCCTTTAGCATTTCCTGTGATGCAGGTCTACTTGTGTTGAATAAAATGTCTTTATTCTATCTTCATTTTTGAAGGATATTTTAGTTAGATATAGAATTCTGGATAGACAGGCTTTGGGCGGGGGGGGGTTTCTCTTTTTTTCAGTCTTAAAAAATACTGTCCCATTGTCACCTGGATTTCACTGTTTGTGATGCAAAGTCAGCTGTCACTGTTACTATTGTTTCCCTATATTTAATGTATTATTTCCTCCAGCTATTTAACATTTTTTTATTTTATTTTTTTAAAATATATTTTATTG